CCCAGGCGTCCACAGCTGGAATTCAGCACCTGCTCCACAGGAGAAAGACAGCAATCTCCGCCCTGTGATTAATAAACCTCTGAAAACCCGCTGGAGGATCAGCTCTGCACCGGTTCGAGTTGCCGGTACACAGTAGTAACAACATAGTCTATTTACTCAGTTCTTCTCTTAGGCAAGAGGGGGGCAGTAACCACATTTTCACTTACTCTTCTCTAGTAAGATGATTCTTCATTAACTGAGACCCCAGTGTACTGTCACGGTACGGCCAGAAGCTCACCAGTGGGTTTTTAGAGGCTGTAGCTTATGGTCATCATTGTCCCACAGAGCAGCCAGTGGATTTGAACTGACCACATTTGGGCTGGCCGTGCAATTCCGATCTGATCTGACCATCATTAGGCAGTAAAATACTGAACCCCACTACCCTAGATTTTTGTTTGTCAAATAACAGACTTTAACGGAAATTTGGACCAATGATTTAATCTGTTAACTCTTCTTAAATTTTACTCTAATCTTACTCTCAACAAATAATGGGGGGGTTTGTTTTGTTTTTAGGTTTAAATTCTGTTGTTGGCCTAGTGACAAGTAGCTGTGCTGCAATTCCTAAGGCAGACAGTTCGAGGCCACCAGCTGCTCAGCGTGAGAAGTCTGGGCAATCTCCTCCCTTGAGATTAACTGCCTCTGAAAACCCACAGGAGGGTCAGTGATGGGTCGGTACTGGCTCTAGGTACACACAACAACAATAGACTGGTTTATTTAAGCCTTTTTGATAAACTGCTTTACATCTCTGTTAAAACATTACTGAATGATGATACAAGTAATACATATCATATATAGTTTTTGCAAACTGCAGAAATCTTTTTTTCTTAGTTTTCTGTGTCTATGCCTACTGCAGGCAGGGAGCTCTGACAGTCTAGTGGTGATGGAGTTACACTGCTTGAGTCGAGTGGGTGCCTCTCTGGCATTTCCAATCTCCCAAAGGTCCTTCCATGAGATCTACCATCTCGGGAAACCAGCCAGGGATTCAGCTCAGTTCTGACTCAATGACAATTAGTGAATGTGTGTGTGTGTGTGTACATGATTTACAGAGAAATACGGCCTTGAGAGGCCAAAAGTTAATTTAAAATAAAATTTGTCTTCATTTTTATCTTCTTTCTTCTCCTCTTTTTTCATTCTTACTTTCTCCTTCTTCTCTTTCGTTGATAACAAGTAGGGTTAAAACAATAATCATACTTCCAACTTTTCCACTCTGATTTCTTTCCCTACTTTCACTAGGAGGTAAATAGACCATAAAACACAACGGCTTCTATCAAATCAAAACTGCCAGCTGTATGTATTTACAAGACAAAAAGTTGCAAGGAAATATTTGTAGTGAAGAAATTTTCCCGTGTCAAACATGAAAAATTATTTTCAAGTTAAAAATACTCAACACAACTTAGAAAACATGGTCATGTTTATTCATAAACGCTTTTTTTCAATGAAAGCCATGGATGTCCAAACACAAACTGAATCACGACAACCCAATGGCCTTCTCCCCACCCCTCATTTTATTATTTTTTTTTTACAAAATCCATGACATATGTCCCATTAATTGGCTAAATAATATATGAGTAAGGAGAAGATGAATCAAAAACACTAAAATGCTTTTAAACACACCATCTAATATAGATATCAACTCTGAAAATGGCATTGAAAAATAATCACTTTGCTTTAGCTTCTTCTGCAGAATTTTTGTTACTGTATCTTTACAGGTGTTTGTTTGTTGTTGATTTTTTTTTAAGCTGTGTATCTAATTTCAACACGAAATGCTAGATCTTCAGCTTGATATTCCATGGAAGATTAAATTCTGTCACATCAGTACATATGTGGGAGATAAACAATATAATTTTTAAAACATGTGTGCATATGTGGGCTATCACAGATATCCTATATACCAAACAGTGGATAGGTATATATTTATACCCTATATCATATGACAGATATAATACCCACCTGGAAAAATAAAATCTAATTAATGCTTGTCTTTAACAACTTTGACTTTTAAGAATTAAGCTTATATATTTGAAAAATATTTTAAATTTATTATGGATTTATGCTTCCATACATAAATACAATTGAATAATTACTTGCCACTTCCCAAAATTTGCCTCATTTGATCTTTCCCAGGAGTTATTTGAATGAAACCATTTAACATCACATAAAAAAAATCAAGAGAAATTCAAGAAGAGGTCTTTCATACAAAATCTCCTGACTGGCAACTTAAAACATTGTCATCCTATGGCATTTTTTTTAAAAATTAAATTACAAGCATCCTCAAATTTTAAAAATAATTACAATGATACAGTTTTAGAAATAAAACTTCACAGGAAAAGGCACTTAAGCCCTGCACCCGGCCGTTTCAGTCTGTATTCTCCACAGCCCTTAACAAATAAGAACTAATTTTGCCTTGCTTGCATACAAATATAGCAAAATACCAACATGAAATCAAGTGAAAATGCTTATGAAAAGTTGGCCATCAAATATTTCACATCAGTGGGGAATTGCTTTAGGGACCTCTGTCTGAAATCTGAGGCATTCATTGTTACCATGTCAAGTGCAGGAAAGGAATAAGGCTGTTGGAGAAATTATCTTAGTTTATTGACTGAAAAGCCAAGGCAACTGTAACAGAGAGGCTTGACAAGATAATTAAATGAATGATAACAAAATCTCAGCAGGGAAGTGCCCATTAATTGAATTTATTTAGGAGCATGTTTTCACGAGTATAACCAAATTATCTAATTTTCACTTACATTAAAAAGTGATAGTCTAGAACAACTAATTATGGAAGATGAAGGAAAAGGCCAGTATTTTGAACCAATAACACAGAAGAAAACAAAACTAATAACATCAAAGAACTGCCACGGTGTTTGACAGCTTCCTATGAATTCCATTTATTATTTTGTCCTGTGACAATATTCCAGTGAAATTCGCCAAAGAGAAGAATCCCAGTAATTTCTATGTAGCAGTGCCTTTAAAGGTAGAAAATATTTACCGCACTCTCTCTGTATTGTTTTCTGATCTTAAAGTGTATGTTAGTAAAGTTGGCCAACAGGTGAAATAACTGCGGAAGACTATTTTATAGATTAAAAAGATATTTTGGTATTCCCTCTCTGTAAGATAGTTAGTGCCATCCTAGTTAAATCCTTGGAACTACGCAGTGTCGGTTTTTGCAAAGATCTGCTGCTGTTTTCATGTTGTACCAAACAAGGGTTCTGAATGAAAGGATTATTATGGTCCTGTTTTCAATTTGAAATAGAGAATGAAAGAATTTATACTTTACCCAATTTTCTCTCTTGAGCTGCTAGCATAATTTCTCCAAATCTAAACAGGATATTTTTAATGTTTAGCAAAATGAAATTCTAATTTGCATAAAAGTTAATGATGGTCCTTGTATATAGCCACACTAGTCAACGAGATTTCATTCACAGTCAACATGTTCAATAGAAAATTAAGACTATGAAATCTGTCACTTTTATATTTATAATCTCTTACTGTAAAACAACATTCATCAGTTGATAAACATTTGGCTATAATTTCATATAAAAGCAAAACAGTACAATAAAATGTTCTCTTTTTTTGGCTTAGTGTTTGTAAATTAGAAGCAGCCTTTATTATTTGCAATTTAATCCCTGAAATAAAAATCTCAATTAATAAATAATGCTAAAATGATGATTTTTAATTTTTTGTTGCTTTCTTTCTGTTTTTATCTTAAGAAAATGGTCATCAAAACAAAATTTGAAACATTTTGGTTAAAATTTGATAACAATAGTAAAAATATTTCTCACCTTTGAAAAGTATGCTTCAACTTTAAAAACAGTTCTCAATGCTGTGTAATATAGGATATCATTTTACATTCAGAAAACTAGCTGCTGTAATTATAAAACTAGCAACTAATACTTTCATTCACAATAACTTTATCACATGACTTCATAACGGTAATAACACCTAGTCTGATTTAGTTTTCACAAAATTGGTACTAAAGGGTTACAGAAATTATTTTAGAAAGAATAGGGCCATGCCAGTTTCCTAAATCACTTCCCTAAGTTAATATAAAGCAAGTTTCAGTTATGGTACCTATATATTGATGGATAATATGGAGCAATTGTTTGGTAGATATAAATATGTCCATCATTAAAATAGACTAGAATGTCTGGTTTTGCTAAGCAATGCACAATAAAGGCATTCTTTCCTATCTCTTGTCATTTCTATATCTGCTTTTATCACTTGTTGAATCAATATACTAAAAGACAGTTTTATGATTAGACAATATTTAAGATGCCAAACAAATCTTTTTTATTGATTTACATTGGCAATTTTACAGTCTAAAAGCATAACCACATCAGGCAAGAACTATTTATAGACCACACTGGATTTTGAAGACATTTGTTTCTAACAGAAATTTTGACTTAAATTTGTGTAGCAAATTCACAGTCCTAACAGTGAATATCCTTGAGGGGGTGGGGGTGGCGAGGCTACAAGCAAATAAATTTGTTCAAATAGGTTTTGATCTGTTAGTGTCAGTTTTCTGTCTTGCTCAGTGCTTTTAAGTCATCTTAGAAGGATAACTACTTAACCTTTATGTCATGATAGTGTAATCATCCTTGTATTACAAACTTCGGTATTTCACTGCATGTAATCGTTCACCAGTAGGCTGAATAGACTTTTTCTATGATAATTAGAATTGCAACTTATATTTCCAACAGAAAACCACAGGCACATTCTATTTCTATGACACTTTTACATAATAGGTGCCTAAAATATACAGCTAATATTAATCACGAGTTCCTGGGGTTTCTAAATTCATCATGTTAAAACATTCTCAACAGACATCCTCTTAGATGAGACTTGCCTTTAAATTTACAATTTTGTTTTCTGTAGAAGTTACCTACACATCTTCAAAAGTCCGACTGGTCTATCAAAATGACTCTTTGAGCAGCCTATTTCATTTTTTGTTTTTTTTTTTTAAAAAAAGACAAAACAGCAATAAACATTTTAGCTCTTTAATGAGCAAAGATCATGTCTCTTAGCATTGGACTGATAGTCATTATCCAGATTATCTTTATTTCACGCAATGGCCAGCGACATGGCCAAGATGTACAAAGTTGTTTCCATCAAGTAGTATACAATTTTTTTTTATAATAATCTTTCATTCTTGAAAAAGAGTAACTGAAAAGAAAGGTTTCTGTTACTGCAGTTAGTTTGTCAGAGAAAGTTCTTTGCATTATCTTACAAACTATCAAAATTGCTAGTCATCTGAAAAAATGTAAAAAAAAATCACATAACTTTAGTCTAATAGAAATATAATACAGGTAAGAGAGAAAGTATTTGTCAGGGCTGTGCTCTTCAAGTCCATCTCAATTTTTAATATAAATGTACATCTGATTACATATACAAACATTTGGAAAGGTCTGTGATATACTGTTACTGGAAAACAGCAGGGGATGGAGAGGTTCCTGTGATCTTAGAATATTCCTTTAAAATCACACACATACACACGTGTTACGACTAAAATCTTCCTGGTGTTGACTTTCCTTCTAGGTTCTGCCTCTATGTTGTATCCTACTGAGATTGCGTGAGTAAACTCCAAGTTATGAGCCTCAGTGAGAGAGGTAAGTGAGCAGGGACGGACTTTATATTGAATTAGTAGTAGTAAACATTTTGCCATGCATTATGAGTAAATCAATTAACTGAGAACCGTAACCAGAGTGGTAATACTGGGGCATCCTCATATCAAAATACTGTTGCAAGTAACTCTTTGGACACACTTCACCTTACCAAAGGAACAAAAATACAGAGTAACAAAAATCACAGCAAACTATAGATCCTGTAATACATGTCCAATTAAGGTAGTATTTCTATAAATTATATAGATGAAATGAAAAGAACATTAAAACAGAGAATTTTTTTTATTCTCCTGGGATTCATATCAGTGGGTATTCACCACTATACCTACAGTTTCTTCAAATACCTTTAATATCTAATTCCTTCTATTATTGAAACTATTATGGATTATTTTATTGTAATTACTTTTACCCCTTACAATCTTCTTTAGGTTCTGCCAATTGATGGAGGAAGCTTCTATTAAAAACTCCAATGGGATGAGAAGAATTTTAATTACGGCTTAATCAGCAACACAGCCACCAAGCATATAAATTATCATGCACATCGTGCTAAAAATATCCAGTTTCCTTTATCCCCACCACTTTAAACTGACAGCACTTATGTGATAATGTTGTACCTGCCAGTCTTGAAACTTCTTGGTTTTACTGGCAAATTTCAGCGTGAGCCTCTGATAAGGCCATTAACAGCATTGGTGCTTTGTGTACTTATCCAAATATGTAAATGTGGTCTACACAATCAAACAGTGCCAAATAAAAACTGGTGACAATTATCTGACATTCCATTGGTGTGTCCCTTGTGCATATTCATAGTTATTGTTTAAAATTGTATTTTTTTATGTTTCAGCCATAGTTCTTTCCTGTGTGGTGTTCCACGTGCCTAATTCCATCATGTAACTGAAATCTTCAAAAAATTAATTCTTGAATGTGAATGAAAAAAAAGTATCATTCAGAACAATTGCTTCAAGCAATTGCAATCCATTTTAAAAGTTGATTTGTGTATATATGTACATTTCATATTTTGAAAACCCCCAAAATCCTTGATATGTATATTCACATAATATTCCTCCTTATTTAAATATTAAGAGTCTTGTAGGTTGAAAGCCAAACAATCTTCAGTGATTATGTACTGGAATCCATCAAAAAAATAGAGTTTGTTTCTCTGATCTGGCTATACCCTGGTTGTGGAGTGTGAATGGGGGTGGGAGTGGGGGTGGGGCAGCGTATTGTTCTGTCCTCCGGTGAAGGTGTTGAATGTGTGTAGGGGCTGGATCCCTGGTATAGTGTTGGGAATCATTGTAATGGTGTTGGGTGTCATTAAGGGGACATCGTCAGGTGACCTCCTCATAGCTAGTGTGTAATCTGGGGGGCAGGCGGTCCGGAGAACCACTTCGTGCGGATGGATGGACTCACATTCATGATCTAGATCAGGGTGCTTCATCTGGAGTGACATGATCTCCTCTTCTTGTGCGTGCGCCAGGTCATTGGTCGTGGTGCGCTGGGGGCTGCATCTCCGGTGCACGTCGTGTCTCCTCTTGTCCTTCTTGTAGTAAAGGGCAGCGAAGGCCAGGATGTTTAGAAAGAGCAGGGAGGCCCCCACCGCGATGGTGACGCTCAGCTCTGTGGAATAGTCCCTTTGGTCCACTGAAAATGGACTTGGCTGTTGCTTGTGGTCATCCTGTTTGGCAGTGGGGAAGGCCGACGTGACCGGGACAGAATTTTTTCGAGTAGGCCTGAACGTGATGTCAGTTGATGGCACTTTAGTTGTTGTCGAGGTATACTGAGAAATGTCATTGAGATTATGCAGGTGCGGTACCAGTTCCAGCCAGAGATTGACCTTGTTAGCTCTGTAATGTTCTTTAACTCTCGGTTTTAATCCAATATGGAGATAAAGTTGATCTTTCTGGGAATATCTGGTCCATGCTACTTCTTCAAAGCGATTGGGTTTGGTATGGATGAATTTTGTATCTTGAGGGACTGGTTGATTTGGGTCCCTAGGAAATTAAAAAAAAAGATACTGTAAAAACAAAATCCCTGTTACCTTTTTCTTACTTAAGGTGATCCTAGTTTAATTTGCAATTGAACCAACACAACTCTTTGTCATTGAGTCAGAACCAACTCATAGTTGAAATTCCAGCAGTTGAAATTCCTGAGATTAGCTACCCATCTTTCTTCTGCAGAACAACTGGTAATTTTGAACTGCCTGCTTTTGGATTGTTGGTCAAATCCCTTACTCATAAGGCTACCAGAGTTCCTTGCTAATTGAACAGTTAAGTCATAAACTTTAAATTATCTTTTAAATTTGAATTTGAGTTAATTTAGCAATATCAAGTCCATGGAAGCCAGATTGTTTGATGGGTTGTAACGAAATGCAAGTAACCTTTCCATTCTGATCCTTTTTTATTAAATTTATGCAGAATTTGACTAGTATTTACTTAAAAATATTCTTTTTAAAACACTAACTTTAAATTTTATATTAATCATTCACAAAGTTGTCTCATGAGCAAGCAAGAAGACACAGTATAAATTAGTGTCAAGAGACGGTATACAGTAGTGGCAGTAATTTGAGATTTTAAATTATATATAAGGATTTTAATTCTGGCACTGCTATGTATCCGATATCAGAAAATTTAAAGGACGTTCTCAAAACTTTAGGTAATTTTCCTATAAAAGAAAAAAGTAGTATTTGACCTGTCTACAACTGGGGAATCTTCTACTGCCTCTAAAGCCTTCTGCAGGGTAAAATATGAGTCAGTTATGACTTGATGATACATAACAAAACAACAAACACCACAGAATGTATACAATATTGTACATTAGGAAACACTATACTATTTTTTTACTATTGGAAAACAGTAACAAAAGAAAAAAATTCTGCTTATTTAAAAAAATATTAAATTGACACTTAATGTAATAAAAAGCATAAGCTTTTTGTATTAAACTTCTAAAACTTTTAAAAACAAAGACTATTAAAGCAATGATTTTGTTTCTTTTTAATTTTTAGCTTTCTGGAAGACCTAGTAGACAACTTCTAAAAGAGCTTAACATCAGAGCAATGGTTATTTTTTAAAAAAGACACAACATAGAAATTATTTTGAATGAAGGAACTTAACATATTCTGGTATTAAAATATGGAATATAGAATTAAGGACAATATGTTTTAAAATTACTTAAAGGTGTTATTTTTAGTTTTCAAAGTATAGAAAATGTCACCCTCTAGTTACATACCCAGTTTTAGCAAAATTGGTCCAGTATGTCATTACCACTGCACTCAGCATCACATCATTTTTGGAGAAATTGCAAGGAAATAACTCAGTGGGGCCAATCATAGGGATTCCCAGGACGTAGGGAACCTCATCGCCATGAGCTGCGTCAGCCCACGCTGGAACCTGGTCTGTCTGGCAATGATGGTAAAAGGCATAGAAATATGTAGGTGAACCAAAGTTTGAGTGAAGGTCTGCTGTCGCTACAGCTGGTGCGACCCACTGATGGTCTGTAAACAAAGCCAATAATGTCTTCCTTCTGGTTTCAGGGTTATGACGGTCAGCCCAGTCAGTATACATGAATTTAATGGTTTCTCTCAAAACATCTTTGCCTTCAGGATATCCATATAAATTATCAACAAAATTGGAAACTGCAAAGTCAAAATCACTCGCTGATATGCCATCATCACTATCTACTATATTTTCAACAAACTTTAGCCCTTCCCCTTGGTTCACGCCCAACATTATATCATAGTTGAGAAACTCTCCTTGCTCCATCAATATTTGTGGGTCGTCTGGGATTACATCACCATCAATCACAGGTCCAAAGGCTATGTGGTATCGTGCGGGTTGAATATCTTGATCGACAAGTTCTTTATAAGGCTTCTTCTGTAGACATTCCACTAACTCTACTGTATCTGAAACATTGCAACCGACTTTGGTGGCCAACATTCTAGCATATTTTGCAGGTTGGAAACTAACAGACCAGCTGGAAAGGGCTGTTCCACTTTGAGCTATTGCTCGCTGAAAAAGTCCTAAAGGGGAAGAAAAGGAGCATTTTCAGATGATTTTCAAAGATTGTTGCTGTGAAATGATAATATTTTCTATTTCAGACATGTATATTTAAATACAAGTGCAACTCAAGAAACAGGGATATACAGACATATTTGCTTTAAAGAAGGTACAGCAAAACCATGCCCAGGGTTTAATAAGTTGGAGAGCTGTACTTTGAGTGGTAATTGCTCAGATATCAGGTTGTTCAAACTCGTGGTGGACTTACTATTTGGTGGTCCAAACAGTAAGTAAAGAGTAGTGCAGATATAAATATTAATGACAAGAACCTCAAATATTGTCTTTTAGCAGCATATAAGCACCTATAAATCATCATAACCAACCAGATGGTATCAACCTTGAGTCTTTTGGAAAATTTTTCATCAGGTACTATAGTGCCATTTTGGAATATTTCCTTTCATTTTCCTTTATTTTTTGTCTTTCAAAATTGGTATGTTTGCTTTAAACAAACTTTATTTTAAGAAATATAGAGGACTCCCTCCTCTAGTGAAGTGGAGGAATTGCTGATTACACCCTGGGGATGGCCTTTTAAGAGACAAAACAAGATACCACTTCAAGCATACTTTTCCCATCTCATGTGGGGACATACTTTATGGAATATTCATCTTTCAAAGACATAACATTTGAAGTGTGTTCACTAAGTTAGAGGAAAAAATATCAGCAGAATGATTTAGTGGGTACAATGATGCTTTTTCCTCTGTTGAATGTACTCACATTTCATGATAAAAAATGATACACTACCCACTACTTTGCATTATATTCCATCTAAGCCTTGTACGCCAGAGGCCCAGTTTGATTTTCAATGAACTGCGTACTACTCAAACTTATAAATACACTTAATTTCACTTCTAAGGAAATTCTTGTGTAAATACAAAATTATTCTATTTTCTTTCAATAATGTATATTTCATATCAATTTCCAAATACAGCCTTGTAGCTTATCTATTTTAAAATATGCTCAACTACTTATACTTGTAAACGACTTAAGAATTCTTCCAAAAAGTTACTGAGTCAGTATGTGAGTCACAGCAAAATTTTATACATTTCTCCAAACACTAATATTTGGTCATTATATCTACTTCATGTTCCCATATAATTAAGAAAATATTAAAATACAAACAATACTAACCTAAACTTATTATGCATTTCTGAATATAAATTAATATTTTAGTTGAAAAAAGCAAATAAGATAATCCAAACATTTAAAAATCATATAGATCATTGTTTTGAGAAATGTTTGCTAACTGAAAGCGTACAACTAAAATATATCTGATGATTTCTAAAATATTTGACTTCAGGTATTTAATCATATTAATTCAATATTAGAACAAATATATAAGGATGAAATGTAAATGATACAAAATGTGTAATGAAATATGCTATATTTTCGGCAGTGGGAAAATCAGGCATTTTATCATTAATGATGTTTGCTTGTTGCATGTGTGCAAGATGTACTTATTCATAGAGCTCTGCTACCCACGTGCAACAGTTGTTTATGTGAAGTTTATAGTTTAAAATCTATGTCTGCTCTGGAGACATGGAATCAGCAGACTGTTGCTAAAAATCTTACCACCTTCTGGTCAAATTGGGTGTCTATGTTTGTACAGATGGGCTTAGAACTATATGCGTAGGGAGTGTGTGTGTGTGTCTCTGTGTGTCTGTGTGTGTGCATGGACAAGTGTGCATGCAAGTAAAAATGGAAAGACTCAATTGTCATTTCAAAGTTGAAGGACCTGAAAGACAAACTCAAGCCTCAAGGTGCAATACTGAGAGATGTTATAAACAAAATTTTGAAAGCTCAAGGAAGCAGCAAAAGAAATTGAAGAAATATACAGAGTTACGGCACCAAAAAAGAACTGCTTGACACTGACAAAATTCAGCAAGTACCATATGAACTTGGAAGCAGGAGTGGCATCTACTTCCTAAACAACATGCCTCCAGAGACTCCATGAACTTTGATAAATGTCAATAGTTATAGAAAAGCTTCAGGCCTTTTGTTCATAGGGTTATTATGAATCGTGCTCAACTTGAAGGCAATCAACAACAACAACACAACCATATAAACAAGAGTCAATGGTAATGAAGGAACAAGTTCAAGCATGCACTGAAGGTTTTAGCAAAAGATAAACCTCCAGGAATTGATGGAATACCAATGACATGTTTCGAATAATAGATGCAATCCTGGATATTTGGAGAACAACTGGTTCGTCATCTAAATGGAAGAGATCTATATTTATTCCCATTCTCAAGAAAGTAGATCCAAGAGAATGTGGATATTATTGAGCAATATCATTAATATCACATGTAAGGAAAGTACTGGTAAGGCTAATCCAAGAACGACTAGAATAGTACACCAACAGACAGCTTCTAGAACTTCACAGTGCATTTTAAAGAAGCTATGGAATTAAATATATTATTGCTGATGCCAAATGGCTCCTGACTGAATGCAGAGAAATCCATAAGAATGTCTACTTGTGTTTAATTGAGTATGGAAAATAATTTGACTACATGGATCATAACAAACTATGGCTAACATTGAGAAGAATGGGAATTCCAGAACACCTAATTATGCTCACATGAAATCTATACTTGGAACAAGAAACTATTGTCTGAACAAACCAAGGGAACACTGTATGATTTAAAATCAGAAAAGGTATGCTTCAGGATTGTGTTCTTTCTACACCTATTCAATCTGGGCACTGACCGGATCATTCAAGATATTGGACTCTAGGTAGAAGAATGCGGGGTCAGGATAAGGAGATAGCTCATCGACAAGCTATGTTATACTTGCTTACTGAATGAGGAGGATATTAAACCTTTGCTGGTGAATATCAAAATAAGTCTTCTACCTGGATTGCATCTGAACATCAAGAAGGCAAAAATCTTTCTCACCGGACTGATGAACAACATCATGATAGACAGAGAAAAGATTGAAATATTCAACCATTTTATCTTACTTGGATCTATAATTAACACTCTTGTTTCCAGCACTCAGGAGATCAGGAGATGTATTGCATTGGGCAAGTCATCTGTCAGGGACTTCTCCAAATTGCTGAGGAAAAGTTCATGCTGCTCTGAAGGACTTGGCAAAAAATAAAGCCCCAGGAACTGATGGAATACCAATTGACATATTTCAACAAACAGATGGTACCCTGGGCATACTCATCAGGTTGTGCCAAGAAATCTAGAGGACAACTACCTGGCCAACTGACTGGAAGAGATCCTTATTTATTCCCATTCAAAAAATGTGACGTGACAGAATGTGGAGATTATCATACAATATCACTCGTATTCAACACAAGCAGAATCCTGCTGAAGATTAGCCAGAAACAACTGGAACAATACATTGACAGAACTACCAGAAACACAAGCTGGGTTTAGAAGGGGTTGTGGCACTAGAGTCATTATCATCAATGTTAGATGGATCTTGGCAAAAAGGGAAGAATACCAGAGGGATATCTATCTGTGTTTCATTGACTATGTGAAGGTATTTGACTGTGTTGATCACGACAATTTGTGGTTAACCATGAGGAGAATGGGAATCCCAGAACACTTGATTGTGCTTATGCTAAACCTATACTTGTACCAGGAAGCAGTCCTCAGAACAGAGCAGGGAATCATTGCATGGCTCAAAATGAGGAAGGGAGTGTGTCAACGATGTGTTCTGTCTCTGTCTCTTTTCAATGTATATGTACAACAGATCTTTCAGGAGGCTGGGCTCTATAAAGAGAAATGTGGCATCAGGATTAGAGGAAGACTCATCAACAACCTACATTATGCAGATGACACAACGTTGCTTACTGAAACTGAGAAGAACCTGAAATGCTTGCTGTAGAAGGTAAAGGACTATAGTCTTCAATATGGATCAAGAGGACAAAGATTATCACCACTGGGCCAATTGGCAGCACCATCATGGATAGAGAAGAGATTGAAGTTGTTACCAGTTACAGCTTGCTTGGCTCCACAATCAACACTATTGGCACCAGCAGTCAGGAAATCTAAAGTCGAATTGGATTAAGTAAACCTGCTGTCAGGGTCCTCTCCAGAGTACTGAAAAGCAAAGGTGTCAGTCTAGAGGCTAAGGTATGTCTGATCTAGTCCACAGTCTTCACAATTACTTGCTATGTATCAGAGAGCGGGATAATGACTAAGGAGGACAGAAGAAGAACTGATGTCCTTGAGTTGTGGTGCTGGAGAAGAGTCTTGAACATATCATGGGCCACCAAGAAAACAAATATGTCTGTCTTGGAGGGGTAAAACCAAGTTTCTCCTTGGATGCTGTCTTCCATACTTTGGGCATGTGGCCAGAAAGGACCAATCCTTAGAAAAGGACATCATGCTCAGAAGGGTGGAGGGACAGTGCAGAAGAGGAAGAACCTGTATGAGATGGATTGCTACAGTAACTAGGGCAAAGGAAGTAGGTGTGTCAGAGTCAGTGAAACTGGCTCAGGAGAGGGCTGTCTTCAGAGCTATTGTATATACGATGGCTAAGAGTCACAGCCAACTCAACGATATATAACAGAAACAACAATGTGGATGAAGGGATCATCATTGAAATGAAGACCTCAGATGAGATGGATTGACACAGTAATTGGGGTAATGGAGATAGGTGTGTCGGAGTCAGTGAGACTGGCTCAGGATCTGGCAGGCTTTAGAGCTGTTGTACATAGGGCCAGTATGAGTCGCATGTGACTTGAAGGCTCATAACAGAAACAAGAACGATATCATTTTGAAGACTAAGGCTCACCAAATTCAGGTCTTTTCAATCAATTGCTGTGCATCTGAGAGATGGACAATATGGATAACAGAAGAATTGGTGCCTTTGAGCATCAATATTGAGTATCAGTATTGGAGAAGAGTACTGAATATTTCACGGAATGCCAAAAGAACAAATGGCTGTGTCTTGGAAAATGTGTATCCTAAGTGTTTCTTGGACGCAAGCTCTGTCTCACATAATTTGGGGATGTTGCCAAAAGCTATTCTTTTCAAAAGGGACATCATAATTGAAAAGGTTAAAGGTCAGTGAAAGAGAGGAAGACTCTGAACGCAATGGGTTCCAGTGTGTCAGAGATCATGAATATGACACGGAATGAAGGTCCAGATCTGCTATTCATAGGGTTGCTATAAGTTGTAGTAGCATCAATGTCAATCTGTATCCATCTGTATCTGTAGCTACATAGTTTGCATTGTTATTGTGTGCCAGCAAGTCAGAACCGACCCACAGCTGACCCTTTTGGAAGGTGTTCCAAAGAAGTTAATCGTGTGAAAGATTGTCCATTCTTCTCCTGCGGAGCAGCTGGTGGATTCAAAACACATGCCTTTAGGTAGGTTTGCAGAGTCTTTATCTCACGTTCTCTCTCTCTCTCTCTCTCTCTCTCTCTCTCTCTCTCTATATATATATAAAATCTCTCTCATCTATCTATCTATCTATCTATCTATCTATCTATCTATCTATCTATCCATCCATCATCTATATATAATCTCTCTATTCTCTCTCATCTACTGGAATCAGTAGGCTAAGTCCATGTCTCTAGGGCGGACTGGTTGCAGTTGCCTAGTGATAAGGGCTTTGCACTGCCAACCCACCAGCTGTTCTGCAGGAGAAAGGCAATCTCCTCCAGTGTGATTTACTATCTCTGAAAAAGCACTGGAGAATCAGCCGTGGGTCAGTTTTGACTCCATGGTACAAAACAACAACAACAACATATGCCTTCAGCTCTGACAAGGCATGGGGAGATTTCCCTGAAGAGTATATTTGAAAATTCTATTTTCAACTATGTATATAGTTCCTTGTTGCGGTTTACCACAGTGTGCATCAGTCCCCCAACAATGCAAGCATAGCTGACTCATATCTTGATCCAATGGATAGATAGGGTCTCTGTGGGTTGGAATCCACTCCATGGCTACAGATTGGGTTTCTTTTTTTTTTTTTTTTTTGGTTGGTTGGTTTTGGTTATTTTTAGCTTAATTACTGTAACTAGCTTTGGTGAATATTGCTTTACAGTTTGGAAAGGAAGAGTAAATACATTTGAGGTCAGACGACTCTCAGTAGTCTATACAGATTACCTAATGGAAACATAGCTAAATACTGGTATTAACATAGTCCTCTAGGAAAAATGATCTGATATACTTAAAAAAAAACCAGAAAAACAAAACAACTCAAACAAACAAATCACAATCCAAAACAAAATTTATGATTTTAAAGCAAAACATTTCATTATAGACCAAAATGCCTAAAAAAGTGGAGATGTTTAAACATACATTTTGGCATTTTGATTAAAACTTTACTAATATATAAGAGTAATTTATTTACTGTTATACTATGTTAATAAACTCAATTTCTAATAAAATACACTTCTTCAAATAATGGTGTCATTACTTACTAAATGACTTAGTATTCTTTGAAAATGTCATTTTACTGTACCTTTGATAACAAAAACACTTCTTTAAGGCTCATTTCATATGATTCTGTTTCATCAATGAAGGTGCTTCAAGAATATGATATGTCAATAATAAAGTATTTGCTTTTGCAGATATATTCAACAGAGCTACCTTTCTTATTGAGATTTCAAATTAAAAATGTATGCTTCCACAGTGTGATTTAATGTCAAAATAGAAGTAAACAGGATAATATGATGACTTTCAGGTTGACATGTTGGGGAAATTGGGTGCTGAGGCCTTAAAACAGGGACATAAAAATATTACAAGAATGTCAACAGTCTCAGTGCTTCACATTACTTTGTTGAAGTCCCAGGGCAAAGGAGTGTATAGAGGGGGAATAAGGGAAGAAATAAGACTTTAAGAGTTGCAAAAAAAAAAAAAAAACAAAACCAACACAAAAAACAACCAAAAAAAAATCAAACACCTTTTGAAAAGATAAACATTTTACTACCGCCTTCAATGATTTGACAATTTTGGATCATGCATGCAAAATAATCAAACATCCACTCTACTCACACAAGTGACACTCACAGAGTACCAGACAAACTAGCTGCTTCATCATCTTCAAAATAATAGAGAGTTTAAATATCTGTTGTCTAAGAAATAAATTAGGGAGTTCTATTAGCCTAGTGGTAAAATGTTGCACTGCCAACCCAAAGGTAAGAGGGTCAAATTCACCAGTTTCTCTGTGGGACTTAGACGGACCATTTCCTGATGCGTGATGTACAGCCTCTCAAAACCCGCTGCAGGGTTGGCTATGGGTCGGTTCTGACTCGATGGTACATAACAACAACAACAACAATGATGACAAGAAACAGAATACATATTTTGCTTATTGACTAATAAAAGATAGAACTATGATAACCTTTGTCCAATTGACCTGAGAACCACTCTTTGGAAGAAATTAAAAACCCTCAAGCCTTGTGACATTGAGCCACTTCTGACTCACAGACACCCTATAGAATAGAGTATAATAACCCCATCGGATTTCCTAGGCTGAAACTTTTAGAGAAGCAGATTATACATCTTTCTCCTGAACGACACCTGGTGAATTTGAACTACTGACCTTTTGATTAGCAGCTAAGTACTTAACCATTCTACCGTGAGGGCTCCTCTGGAGGAAAGGAAAGAGCCTATAGTTCTATTTGAAAGTTGGCTTGTAAGGCCATCCTTACCAAGCTCACAGGGAACAAAGAAGAGATTGAAGGAAAACTACAACGTACATAGAAAAGCTGAAGAAACATAGTTTTGAACAGTGCTTGAGTTAAGCCTACTACTCAGTTCCAACAGAGAAATATATACAGAGCATCACATACTACTGGTGGTGGCATGCAGACACCAAAATTGTCAAAATTTGCAACCTGCATAATACCTTTGGTTGAATTGCTCCAACGGTTACCTTCAGAATAATGGGATAAAGTCAGCAGATTGACACATGAACCTCCGGCACCAGACCCAAACACAGTGATCCTCAAAGGATCACCACCAAAGAATCCAATGTTCTCACTGGTCCATCTTAAAGCTTGGATAAGATCAAGGAGACCATAGTTTCCCTTTGCAGCTTGATCCCCTGTACTTAAGAAACCTGAAAAAAAAAAAAGAAAAAAAAGAACAATTTAGACTCTTGAGTAGACATGAATCAAGTAGACAGAAAATTTAAATACACCTGAAGTCTCTGTTAATCAAAGTGAGCACCAGTCAAGTTTTTCTGCAAAAATTCTTTTCCACCAGCATGAAATAATTTACTCTAGGAAGAACAGAAGAGACTGAAAACTCACAAATGACATTTATCTTTCCCAAATGCTTCTTAAATTATCCAGGTAACAGGTAACAGGGGGCAAATAAAGGGAACACAAACCTTCTGAAAGACCTCAAGGGAGCCATAGCTGAGGCCAAGTTCTTTGATGTAGACATTTGGATAGGATCGTGGGACATATGGGCACATGCACTTTTTGCATAAAATACAGTGTCAGTTCTTAAGCTGCTAACAGTATAAAGTGGCTGGGATTTCAGGACTAGGCCGCAGGGTCACACACTCCCATTGCCACTGAATCAGAACGCACTCATAACTGACTCCAAAGGGTTTGTCAGAGATTGTAAATTGGATAGCAGAAGACTGGCCAGCTTTCTTCCAAGAGCAGGTCGTGGTTTCCACCGTCTGCTTTTGGGTCGACAGCACAACTCCTTTACCTACTACTAGATACATTCTTAAGCCTTTTGTGAAAAGTAGTTTTAAAAACTCCATAAAATGCATGCACAAATAACTATAATGGGTGACTATGTGAATAGCAGTTATTAGATTTAGTTAGAAATATTCTTTCATATATGTGCATATGCACATTTAATTAATTATGAAGAGAAAATAAAAGATTCTCACTTATGGTCAATGATTTATTCTTTTTGGTATTAGAACACCAGGTTTTTCTCCCAAGATACATCCAATTTCTGAACTTTTGGATAGTAGCTGAAACCAAAATGTGATCCGTATTTTTACCGCCAATGACTTAGAAAAGGGTAAATTGGAATAATATTACAGAATGTCATAAAAACCAAACTGAGGACATTTACTCAATTAATAAAGCATATTGAATAATTTTGAACTTTTGAAAAGTTTAATCTAATATTGTTTCTGAAGTATTTTGTTCCATACTGAACATGTCAATGATGAGAAAAATACATTAAATAATAGAGACAATGCATGGAGAACAGAGGATTTTAAAATTTCAGTTGACACAAAGACAAATATAATTGAAAAAAAGACCAGTAAAAAAAATATATCTTGCATGTAAAAGTTATGTGACTTTCTTAGGTATGGAAAATTCTAATTCCAAAACATTCAAAGCTAATTCTAAAAACATAATCATCATAATATTTATTCTCTTTCTGAAAAATCACAATGTTTTTGATAAAAATTACTTTATTCAATTGGAAATTGTCTCACTAGGCCATCTTAAAGAAAACAATCTTTTTTGTTTTGTTTTGTTTGGAATTCCATTTATTCATTGTTGCACTTTTCTCCCCACCAACCCCACTCCCACCTCCACCCTCAGTTCGCTCCTCTCCTTGAAAAGCAAATGAAAACAATCTTTTTAAAAGAAAATTCAGAAAGTCAATTGCATTTGTATAAACCAGGCCTGATACAGGTCTTTGCAATCACTTGCTAAGCACCAGAGAGTTGGACCATGACTTGGTATGATAGAAGGAGAGTTGATGACTTTAGCTGTGATGATGGAGAAGAGTATTGAATATACCCTGGACTGCTAAGCAAACAAGTAAGTTCATCCTGGAGAGGGTTAAACCAGGCTGTTTCTTGGAGGCAAGGATTCTGAAGCTTCATCTGACATACTTTGGACATGTTGCAAGGAGGGATCAATCCTTGGAACATCATGCTTGGGAAGGTGGAGGGACAGCGCAGGAGAGGAAGACACTCGATGAGATGGATTGATTTGGTGACGGGGGTCATCGGGATGGGTGTGTCAGAGACAGTGAGATTGGCACAGGACAGAGCAAGGTTTAGGGCTGTTGTACGTAGGGTCTCTATGAGTCACAGGGACCCGAAGGCACATAACAGCAAACTAGACTGTGAAAGTAGAACACAATAACCAAATAACCAAATCCACAGACAAAAATACAAGGACAGGAAGTTCTCTCACATTTTTATAGAAAGAACAGATGAAGCTGCATAGTCAATCGCGTGAATAATTTTTAAACTATAAAGAAATTCAGGCTCCAGGGCCTTATGGTAAGGGGTTGCACTGCCAACCCAGAGGTACATGGTTCAAATTCACCAGCTGCTTGCTCCATGGGAAAGAGACAGGAGGCCTCTTCCTGTGTCACTTACAGCCTCTGAAAACCTGCTGGAGGATCAGCTAGAAATCAGTTCCAATTTGATGACATATAGCAACAGTCATCCCTCTTTATCTGGAAGACTAAAAACAAGTTACAACATCTCGTGGATTCCTGTGTTATATTTGTATATGTGTGTACAAAATGGGACCCCCTGATAATGAGGCTAAATTGTTAAAGCAAAATTCCAGTTAAACATGTCTTTCTAGAAATATTCAAGTCTTTTTGTCAAACTTACATAAAATTTAAAAAAGTTATGGTGTCTCTTACATAGAAGTATTTTTCTATATACAATATTCATGTAAATGAGATAAAAATAAATACAAAACAAAAATATAAAAGATTTATTTTAATTCTGTTGGTTATTAGCTGATTTTTATGTTTAAGAAATAATTTATATTCCCGAAGAATTTGTTTCAAAAAGTTTGATCTGTCAAAACACAATGATACTGTAACTTTCTTAAAATATTTCCTTGCACAGTTTTGACGGCCATCAGAGAACTGGTCAATGACAAAAGATGACAGACGAAGAATTGATGCCTTTGAGTTGTGGTGCTGGAGAAGAGTCTTGGACATGCCATGGACTGCAAAGGAAACAAATAGTTCTGTCTTGGAGAAGGTGAAACCAAGTTTCTCTCTGGAGGCTAGGATTTTGAAGCTCCATCTCACGTATTTTGGGCATGTGGCCAGGAGGCACTGGTCCTTGGAGAAGAACATCATGCTCAGAAGGGTGGAGGGACAGTGCAGGAGAGGAAGACCCTGGATGAGATGGATTGATACAGTAACTGGGGCGATGGAAGTCGGTGTATCGGAGTCAGTGAGACTGGCTCACGACAGGGCAGGTTTCAGAGTTGTTGCACATAGGATTGCAATGAGTCGCAGGCAACTCGACGGCACATAACAACAATAACAACAGCTAAAGACAGATCTGCTTCCCTTCTCAAGCGGTTATTTAGGCTCACTCTACAACAGCTACTCTTATGGATAGAACTGTGGGTGTATCAAGCCTCTCTGTTCATGGCTTCTCTGATTCCTGTTTCCCACACCGCACCTGATTTGGTTCTTTAGAGATTTGATGTCAAGAGTAGGCAGGAGCTCCAAAAACAATGTAATAAAAGGAAATTTTACTGCACTCTGTAGAAAGGAAAATAGAAGGATGATAAAGGGGTGTGTGTGTGTGTGTGTAAGAGAAAGAATGGAGAGAGAACGAGAACACATTGTAAGTAGTTTATTATCTGTAATTCACTAACATACATGAGCTCAGGTAGAAATTTGACTTTTAGATATAGCTCATGTCACCCAGGAAAAAGAAACACAATTTTATTTTTCTTTTCTTTCTCTTGGAATGATATTCAATTCTCTATCCATATTTAGTTATAGTAATAAAAGACTTAACTTCGCATTTACTAACATTACTGCTTTAATTTCAGTGTTAACAGCATCATTTTCACTTCTATGATAGATCAAATAGTTTTGTATTTATGTAACAATATTGCAAAAGCCTATCAATTCTCTGAAGATAAACATCATATATACAGCAATTTTTAAAAAAATAAGTTTCAAACACAATACATTCAATTCCAAAATTGCATTTCCCACCCTCCTCGTGGAGTAATTGGGATTTAGAATTATAATGCCCACAATTTTCAAGATCCATTTTTATTCTTTAGTACTAATACACCCTCATTTTTTTATTCCTATTCTATGTTTTATAACATATAATAATAACATATGTTTTATGTTTTTCAATTAATCATTAGAATGAATTCAGACAGTAAGTTTCAGGTTTTCTTTCTTTTTTTAGAAAATTAATTGATAGCTGCTGTCTTTATTTAGCCAGCTAGGAATTCAAATTACATCTCTCCAGATCCGGTGAAATGACGCTTGTCTTCTGAAGCTACATTCAGTCAACATCCTGTAGCTCCTCTAAGAGAAAAAAAGAGGGAGAGGTAAAAAAACCACAAGGTGCCTCTAAAGGAAGGTTATTTGCTGGTTCCGCAGTTGGTGTGTCTGACTACAGTCTTGATGTCCGTGCCACAGCCTAAAGGTGAGCAGTTTGAATCTACCCTGCTCCAAGGAAAAGATGACCGTGAGACTTTTAGCTTCTGAAAAACAGATGGAGCTTCAGCTGTGAACCTGTTGCAGCTGGACATCACGTAACGAAAACATCCAATGAAGGAAGGAGTCGCAGCACCACGGGGCAGCGTGTGCTCTGGTACAACCAGAAGTGAACGGTTCGAATCTCCTCGCTGCTCCGTGACACAAAGAGAGAGAGTCTGTCCTGTGAAGACCCAGAGTTTGGGAAGGTGCTGGAGAGGTGTTAGGAGCTGCTCTTACCTGAATGCCAGTGGGTCTTATGGGTTGAATGGTTCCTTTACAGTTATTCTTGCTTTTTGTTTTAATTGACTTGCTTACTACATCTTTAACAGAGAATTATTTCAAACCACTCTGACTGCAATCTGGCATTGGACGGCACCCATATTTGTTAGTGGTGGGGCTTATTGTGAGTCAGAACCGATTCACAGCTGACTGTCCGTGGGTTTTCAGAGGGAGCGAAGCACCCCACAGCAGAAGGCCCACCTTCTTCCTGCTGAACCCCTGGGGAACTCTGGTTGCAGGACTTCGGGGTGACAGTGCGAGCCTTGCTGCTAAGCTCTGGAGCTCTCGAGTCCCGTGGGAAGGGGACTCAATTTTATAAAAACCTCAAAGTGCTAGTTCTCTTCTTCACTTTGAAGATTT